AGTTACCGAGGTTTGAGTTATCGAGGTTTTACTGTATTTTAGATATAAATACTTAGCTATGTTAATGCTACTTACAATCTGACAGATATCAAATTAACAGAATGTGACTTTAAGACGGTGTTACCTAAATTCGGTATTTGACCGATATTTACAATTATTAGTCGAAAGTATGCCTTTTTGAGTTATAAATATTGTTTGTATTGTTTTTTTTTTAATTCTATAAGTGAAATTGTTAACAAAATTCACAATATATTAAGATTACTTTGATAATAAAAGAACTTTTATAAATTCTCCTTAGAAATTTAATATTTTTTGTTGTATGAATTCTATAAAATATTAAAAGCCTGTCCGACCACTGGCTGATAGAGTCTCAGATAGCTTAATAACGTCACTGTCAGATAAGGTAACAGAATCCGATATTTCCATCACATATTTTAAACGTAACATTTTTATCAGACAATTTACAATTTATTGAGACAGGTCCTAATATGTTATTTTTCTCTATTTTTTTCAGAGAGAGTTCGCCAAGTGCAGGAGAAATTAGAAGAATTTATAGAGGCTCTGAACAAAGAGAAATAATATTGTATATATGGAATATGTATCACATGACACACACACTGTTTTATACTTATATGTTACTAGTTGTATCGCGCGACTTCGCCCTGGTCAAATAAAAAAATAAAAATAGCCTATGTTATATAAAGTAGCTTTTTAATGGTGAAAGATTATTTGAAATCTATCCAATAGATTTTTGAGTTATTTCAATATATACAAAGAGACAGATTTTTCCCCTTTTAATGAATTATCCGATATACAATTTGTACAATTAGGGAATTTGTCGGTGTTACTAATCAGGGACAGTTGTTTTAATGATTTTAACGCATTATGACTATTTATAACCGATAGAACGTTTTGTATATGTACGAAAATACATGGATTTTCAACAATTGTTAATTATTCTTATTGATTATTAGTAAGAAGAGTTGAAATTTGTAATGAATTCCTTCCACCGCGGATCTCCCCGACTGTACCTAATATTGTTATTATGTGAGTTAATTATTGAGCTATAGATAAATCATGCTAAACTATTCGAATTGTTTTTTTAACCATTTAGACATGTTTAGTTCTGAGAAGTAACTACTTAATAGTTAAATAAATGAAATTGTAAAGCAAAGAGAAGTTATTGACTTGAGTATTCATTCTGGATTTTTTCTAATAAAAGATGTATAACATTGTAACTTATTTATTATGAAATTATACCTTTGGGTTTGTATGTAAAAAAAACACAGATTTTCTACTAAAATTGTTTATTTTCATGTTATAATTTATATTACAGTTTAAGAAACTTATAACAATGAAATTAATAGCAAAATTAGAAACTTTTTATTCTACATTTGTTTGGTTTTCAATTTATTTATAGTTAAAACATTTTATTAACCCTTAACTTGGCAGAATTTTATTTTTTTGAATATCAAAATAATATAGCTATTAACCTTCATGACCCAAGGTGTTTAGCAAAAAAAATTGATGTATCTCTACAGATACACTAACAAGAAAAGGGTTAAATGTATTTCACACAAAAGGCTCACCATTTTTTTGTATAATCCGTATATTAATTTTATTTTGTCATAGAAGTATTACGTTAAATGAAATGTCTATTTTACGATACTCAAATGATTCTGTATTTTGTATTCTGAACTAAAATTCACTGAAATGATAAAACATGAATTTATTTAAATTATTTACTGTTGGGGGACATTTATTTTGTAACTTAATTTTATTTGACTCTTGCTATTCAATTTAAATCAATTACTTGTAATAACAAATATAACTCTAATGACAGCTGTATTTAATTTTAACTGGGTAGCAAATTTATTTCTTTAACTGTAGTCAGCTACATAAATGTGTACATTTGTAGAATTTAAGATACCACGTCATTTGTTGCTTGAATATAAAAAAATCTGTTTGTTTTCGATTAAAAACTCATCGTATTGACGTATGTTTGAATAAATGTGTTTAAAACAGGAACAAAATTATATTTTGTAAATGTATTTATGAAGCTGACTGTACAATCATTTGTAGAAACATAGAACTAGGCTAATACTAAAATTGTCGGAAAATTTGTATAGGTACTATTGAAATGTAAAACATAGTTTGGGAAATAAAATACGTGTGTTGTGTGAAAGTGAACAGATTATTTATATAATAGTTTATTTTGTTGTTTATCTTAACGGCTTGATCTAAGTTATATTTGTATAAAAATAAAAATTTTACAAACATTAAACAGTTTTTATTAAATTAACCCTGTTTAAAAAATATTCTTTAAAAAAGCAAATGCTCTCTACGAATATATTTACTTTTGTATACAGGTTACATTTACTTGCTTCACTTTAGGAACCTGTTATACAATCTAAAAACAATCGGAATTATCGTTTTTCTGTACCTTCCTCTGTTCAGAACACATCTGTAAATGTGGATGTCTATGGGCATCGATCGCTTCGCCACTTTTGCGAACCTATGACGCGATACCAGCGAACGAGTCGATGTGGAAACACATCGATTAGTACGCATCGTTATGTGTAATTGATTGTAAATGTATTAACCAATTATAAGGTGATAATACACAGAGGGAGACAGTTTACGACGTTAGTTTTTTAACACTAAAAGCATTTGAGAAAATAAAATACTTGTAATCAAACAAAAGCATATATTTACGAACATATTCAAATAATTAAGACCAACTATAGCAAACTCTGTCTGCGCCACCAGAAAACAAAAAACCATGTAAAAAGAATTTAACTTCCTCATTCTGGGAACTTTTCAATATATCCAGAAGCTCCTTTCTTTTTATATCCGGGTTGTATCCGCCCTCCTTGTCCAGCAGGTACTCGGCCAGCAGCAGAGCCTCAGTCCCGCCGTGCTCTACCAGACCTCCGATAAACGAACTCAAAAATTTAGAACTGCTCTCATTAAACGGAAACTGATCTCTTAAGAATGTCCACAAATTCTTTTGATAGATAACCGTTATTGATTCGAAATATCTAGATACCAGCTCTTTTAGTTCTTTAGCAACGTAGTTACCAAATTGTTTACCCACAACTGTCGCTCCCTCTATTCGTTTCGACTTTACAACTTCGAACTTATCTGGATACTGTTTCATACAATATTTAATAGCCTTGTAATACAACATTGTCGCATGCAGCAACACAAAAGTTTTGAAATATCCCTCCATCGGCAGAACCGTCTGCAGATCCGCGACGATCCTCTCCAACACAGGCAAGCACGAAAGTCTCGGATTAAAGAACGCCGTGTTATATTTTAGTGACATAACTAATTCGTCCAAATATTGTGCCGCGTTGTCAGTGTTCCGCCGCACCAGAGCTGCCAAACGGTCCAGAAACGGTGCCCATATGCCGTCCAGTCTGACTTCTTGCTCCTCGACCTCTCCGAGCAGCAGGTACTTGCTCACGATGCGGACTTTCATACAGTTACATATATATATGAAATTATCATCATCCGATATGGTTTCCACATTAAACTCCTCGAGGAAGTCGTCGATCACTTTCTTAATGACATCACCGTTCACTGCGGGAAGTATATTTTCGAGTCTGCACAAGACAGACATCGCCTTCTTTGGTGACGCTTTCTGTAGAGCGCCGAACACGGTGACCCAGTACTCGGCCTGTATCTCCGCAGGCATGGAGTCGACTTCCTGCAACGCACGACTCAGGAAGCGGCGCTGCTCTACAGCCAGATCCAGAGAGTCTAGCGCCGGTGCCACCG